GGGGAGGTTAACCTTATACTTCAATGAGGAATGAAATTTGCATTCATACTACTCTTATTCTACAAAAGTCATTATCTTGAGCCATATCTTTTTATATCTTTATCGTTTGAGTATTAGAGTTTCATTGTACTCATTATGGTTCTTAGAGAGAGTTTTTATTAAATGATCACTTATTCAAAATCATTGTAAAAGTGAGGGAGAGATTTTTTTTTGCAATCAAGAGAGGTTATTTTCTTAGGTGATAAGCTCATTGGTGTAGTTACCGTATTGGAAAAAGTTTTAAATTGTTGAAAATTTCATTAACACCTAATTCACCCCTTCTTAAGTATATTACCATATTTAACACCTATGGCCTTCCAGGGTGAACTACCATACCCGCTAGTTCTAATGCATTATTATTTGGTTTTTAATTAATGTAGGAAATGAGTTCAATAGTTTCTCAATCAAATGCTGCTACAACTTTGTTCATATTCAAGAATGGTGGTTGTAAGATCTCCCTTACTTAACCATATTTAACTTCATAATTAAGGTAATTAAGGGATTAACCCTTAAAGGATTACTAAAGTTGTAAAATTTTATAAAAGAGAAGAATTCTCAAATTTTATAATGGGATCCCAAAATTCAATATTTTCAATCTCAAACACATTTGAAATGCTCAAATCAGAGTTTGAAAGCAATGTAGAAGCTTGAAAATCAATTGAAACCCACAACAATAAGTCTCAAAACTTAAAATAGTTTTATGCAGAAAATGCAACATGCGCCATGGCATAAGACATATGCATCATGGCTCATCCTTCTCTATGCCATGCACTGCGGCATGAGGCACTATATGCCGCGGCGCATTGCACAAATTTGACAGCAACAGCTACTGTCATTTAACAATAGTGGGAGTAAACTTTTGATGCTTCCTAAATCTCCGTTCGACATTCAATTGAGGTGATTTTGCTGTCTACACGGAGCTTTCTCCTAACTCTAGCTAATGGCATAGGTTTCACACTCAAATTTATTTTCTACAAGAAGTTGGACATCAAAATACATTTTTACTACTTTTCACATAAAGCACACAATTTTGGTGTCGCAACCTTACCACAAGTGCTAAAAGCCTACATCAACTCTTTGACCATGCTCAATGGACTCTAGCGGACTTGTGCAATACACCAAACACAACTAAAAACACATATTTCTTAAAATCACTACTCAACCCTAAAGTTCATGAAACATAAGGGGGAGGAAATTCATGTATAAAATCATCATTTTCATTTTTATTCTTTCAAAATACACATGTTCCTACTTGCACAAGTATTTTGACCGTATCCACGGCTTTACAACCAAAATTCACTAACTCGAGGTATAAAATATATAAGTTGTACACTAAGCTAATGCAAATAGTACAAAAATAATGACATGTGATCCTAGTTGGCAATTATACAACACTAATACACAAAATAAAGTAAAGAGGCATGAAAGTAGGATTTTACCACAATCCTACGCCTCAGAGTATTTTTCACCAAATTTAATCTGATGAGTTAGGCCCTGAAAATATTAAAAATTGAGGGGTGAGTACGACTACTCAACAATCAAGTTTTACCTAATCTATATAGTTTCATATCAATTGTAAACAAGTGCAAATAGGCAAAAATATACAAACACAATATATATGATGGGCTTGGACACAGTTCGCAATACTAACAACCATGTGACTGGGCCTAAGGCACATGTTATCCACAAAACATCAATGCATATCCTGGGGTTGTAATAATACCAACCATATGCTCCTAATACTTACTAGACCGCAATACTAACAACCATGTGGCCGGATTTAAATGCATAATCCAATGCCGACCCTATACCCTCTTATTACCTCCGACATGAAACCGTTGCCTATCACATGGCTACGTCATTCATGGATTAACCTAGCCTTTCACTTGTGAGTAGCTACTAGGCTAGGGTTAACTCACTTACTCGTGTAATCTGGTTTCCCTCAATACTAACAGCCATAAGATGTCGTACCTCTAATCTAGCCTCTTCTTGAATTAGTGGAAATTAGTGAGGTTTAAGTTCCTTGTAGAACAAGTGGGATAGTCCTAAATTAACTATAGGACAAGGGCTACTTCTTGATTCTAATAGTCGGTGCCAAGACAAGTTCTCGATTCCAATGGTCATTGCTAGTACCACTTGGATTTACCAACTATTCCTCTCCTTAGGCTAACTTTTGCTAATGATCATGCTATGCACATGCCACATATAAATGCAAATGTGACCCAACTCACAGCCAACACAATTTCATATCAATCTCTCACTCCTAATAAGCCACAATCAATATATCACATGTAGAGCATTTTTAAAATATCACATTTATCACTTTCACTTCTCTATGCCACCAACCAAATTATCAATCACAATAAATGATATGCAAAATATTTCCTTTTCTAAAATCATTTTACAAGTTAAACACATTGACAAATTGCATCATTAATTTAAACCATCAGCCACATTTCATAAACATAATTAATATTAAATTATAAAAATTATGTTTCCTCCGGTTATCTTGAACCTTTGAGAGGTCAAAGGTTTACCCCTCTAAATACCAACTTATAAGCTTCTCTCAAGCTTGAATAGTGCCAAAAACAATGATCTACAATTGCATCACAAGGATATCATCATAATCCTACTCTTAAGGGTTTATCAACATTAGTTCCACATTTTCTCTACTCTACCAATCCCATAAATCTCTACCCATCCAATGGATTTATTTAGTTCCATTAATGCATATTATCATTAATAGATCTTTAAACTACCATTAATGGATATTAAACTCTCCCAACTACACATTAATGGCAATTTTCACATATTAATGGCTCTACCCAATAAACTCTTAATAAAATCATCAACATAGGGTTTATCTACCACAAACAACTCTCAATATATCCATTTTAACCAATAGGTTTGAAGCCATAGCTCCTATGGATTGAAAATCAACTTTTCAACTCAAACCCTAAGTTAAATCTCTATAAATGTGGGAGAGAAAGGAAGAAAGAAGCTTATCACACTCACTTCAATGTGTATGCTATAAAAACCAACATGACTTAAGAAAGATCTCAAGTCCTTTACATTAGATAGATAAGGTAAAGATGAGATAACTTCAATCTTTGCTTTAACAACCTCAATGCCTCTGCTAGAGACTAAGTGGCTGAGGATAATCCTTTGTTCAACCATAAAATGACATTTCTCAAAATTCAAGACTAAATTCTTTTCAACACATCTAGCAAGCACTTTATCCAAATTTCTCAAGTAAGAAGAATAAGACTCTCATGTATAGTGAAATCATCCATAAAAACTTCCATACAATGCTCAATAAAATCACTAAAAATACCAAACATGCATCTTTAGAAAGTACTTATGGCATTGCACAACCCAAAGGGCATTCTTCTATAGGAAAAAGTGCTAAATGGACAAGTAAAAGTGATTTTGTGCTAATCAAAAGGGTCAATACAAATTTAAAAATAACCACTATAATCATTCAAAAAGGAATAATGTGACTTCCCTCCCAACCTCTCTAACACCTGATCAATAAAAGGAAGGGAAAAGTGATCTTTCTTAGTGGCATCATTCAACCTTCTATAGTCAATGCACACACGCAAACTATTTTAGACCCTAGTAGGAATCAACTCATGATTTTCATTTTAATAACCATTATCCCACTCTTTTTAGGAACCACTTGAACCGAGGAAACTACTCACTATCACTAATTGGATAAATGATACCTGTACTCAAAAGTTTAGTGACTTCCTTTTTCACCACATCAAGTATAAGAGATTCAACCTCCTTTGTGGCTATCTAATAGCCTTAGCGTTCTCATCTAGCATGATTCTACAAGTGTATGTGTGTGGACTAATCCTTGAAATGTCTCCTAGTGTCCAACCAATTGCCCTAATATTCTTCCTAACCATATCAAGTAATAAAGACTCCTCAATGCAAGAAAGTTTAGAAATGACAATAATAAGAAGTTTATCACCATCTTTTAAGTAAGCATATTTCAAGTGTGAGGGAAATGGCTTAAGGTCCAATTGTGGAGGCTTTAAGATGCTAGGAGAGATCTTCTTCACTTATATTTGCTTAGCCAAGTCCCAATCCTCCTTACCAGTCTCCTTGGCCACACAACTCAAAGAATTTCCAACATCCTTATCAATAGAATGCTTCTTGGATTGGGTTCCATTTTGCATGGGTAAAGCCATGGTTTAAGCCTCTTTTCCCCCCTGTTACAATACTTAACAAACTCCTCTCCAATGATGGAGAAGGATTAGGTGCAAAAGAATAAGAAATATAGTCCAAATCTTCATAAACATTAGAGCTAAACTCATTCAAGGTTCTGAGAGTATTACAAGAAAAATCATCAATGCATTTAGGTGAGCTAGAGCCACCTTATTTCACAACTTCAAAATCATCATTTAAATCAAAAGAAGATGTATGAGAATGGCTAGAATAAATGTTCAAGTTATCAAATTCATCTAAGGCAAGTAAATCACATAAAGAAGCAAGATGACATGAAACATGCTCTTTAGTGGAATTTTGTTTGTCTTGCTTTATGTCACCAATAGAAATAGCAATAGAATCAGTAGTAATATGCTCATGAGAGTCTAAAATATCATCCTCTTTAAGGCTAGCAAGCATAGAAACTGTATCCATACAATTGGCACACACAACATCATCATTGCAAGCACAAGTCATAGATGACAATGTAGAAAAATTTTCAGCAACAGAAAAATCTGATGAATGGGCATGTAAAGAGGATAATGACAATGAAAACTCATTACTAGCATGCTCAATAGAATCCTCAACAATGCTCACTGAACACAAGAATTTTTCATGTTTTCAAAAATATCAAACTCAATCTTATTATCAAGAAATTTCATAGTGAGTTTACCTTCTTTCATGTTGAGAATGGTGCTAGATGTCATCATAAACGGTCTTTCAAGAGTCAAAGTCCCTTGACCTCCTTCTTACATGTCAAGGACATAGAAGTTAGCTAGAAATACCAAGTCCTTCACCTTCACTAAAATATCCTCCAAGAATCCCTTCGATCTTCTAATGCTCCTATTCGCTAATTGAAGCATGACTCCATAATCTTGAAGGTCTCCCATGTTAAGAGAAGAGTAAATGTGAGTAGGAATGACATTTGTCGCTGCCCTAAGATCTATGAGAGCCTCTAGAATAATCGCATTCCCAATTTGGCAAGGAATAGTGCAAGCTCCTGGATCTTTACACTTGATAGGAAGTTTTGGCTTGAAAATTGCACTCACACTAGGACTCATTTGCACGATGGCTAATAGCTTAAATCCCTTCTTATTTGTGCACAACTCCTTTAAGAATTAGGTATATTTAGGCATGCTCTTGATCATGTCTAGCAAAGTTATATTCACCTCAATCTTCTTCAACATCTCAATAACATCTTGCTTATTATCCTCTTGCTCGTTCTTCACAAATCTTGTCAAAGCATGAAGGAAAGGCATATCTCTGGGAATTGGATCCTCAATTTTGTATTCTCTTAGTTTCTCCCTTCTCCTAAGTATTTCTTTCTCTTTTAAAGCTTATTGTACCTTTAAAGTCTCATTGGAACCCCTTTTATCAATAGTTTCAGAATGCTATCTAGTTTTGGTTTCTTGACTTTGCTCTTAGTTTAGATCAACCTTTTGAGGTCTAGAATTGTTTTCCTCAAGAATAGGTACATGTACACTATAGTGATCATCATGAGAATCATCAGGTCTTTTACTACTTCTCAATTTAATAGCACTAATATTCTTAGGATTGATCATAGGTTGTGTGGAAAGTGTGCCACTGTTTTGAGCTTGAGAAATACTATTGTTGTTGCTCATTTGTTACATGACAACTTTAGTTGAGTGCTATCTTGTCTCTAAGTTATCAAGTATCTTGAAAAGAAGCTCAAATTGGTTGTGTACTTTACCAAATTTGGAATCAGCATTTGAGATTAGGTTTCCAGCCTTGAATTTATTTTTATCATGTTGTTTTTCATCTTTTCCAAAAGTGAGAAAAGCTTGTTATCATTGGAAGAGTCTTGGATAGGAACTATTTGATTGCTCCTTGAAATAGAAACATCTTGATTAGATCTATAACTCAAATTAGGGTGATTTCTCCAACTAGAGTTATATGTATTCCCATATGGCTGAAATTGACCTCTTCCTCCTTATTGTGGGTGATTGTATGGCCTTTGTTATTGATAAACAGCAACAACATCCTCCTTCTTGTAGGCATGCATGCAATTCGAAGTAATGTGCATGGTTGAGTGGCAAATGGCACAACTTAGAGCTACTAATGCTCTTGACATAGAAGCCACTTGAGGTTGTTTAGAGGTAGCAAGAGACATCTTGAGGAAATCTAACTAAGAGTAAATGTCATCTGGTTGAGCATTAGGAATTGAAGTTGGATAGACCGCATTCACACCTCTTGTGTTCTCCCTTATGTTATACTGTTGATTATTATTAGCCATCTTTTCCACCAATTCCCAAGCTTCATCAGGGGGCAAATCAAGTAAAGACCCATCAGTAGCTGAATCTATAGTCTCTCTATCATGAACTGGGAGTCCAACATGAAAATACTCAATGAGAAACTCTTTGCCAATCGAAAGATATGGACATCTTGCTAGGAGCTCAAGGTATCTCATCCAATACTCATATAAGGATTCTTAAGGAAATTATTGAATTCCCATTATTTGCTTCCTCAACTAAGAGTATTTAGTTGCTGGAAAATATTTCTCCAAGAAACAATGTTTCATTTCAGCCTATGAATTGATTGTCTTAGTGGCTAAAGTATTAAACCAAGTGATTGACTTATCCTCCAAGGTGAAATAAAAGACCTTCATCATCAAATTCTCCAAACTAGTTGTAGGTGGCTTCATTGGTCAACACAAACTGTCTCAAGAATTTGGAGTGTCTATTGGGATCTTCACCTGTAAATCTATAAAATTTTGGTAAGGCATTGATTAGAGAAGGCTTAATTTCATAGTTAATATTTTCTTGCAAGTTCACATTTAAGCCATATGCTCTAAATGCATCTTTAGGTGCAACCATTTCCCTAATGCTTCTTTTAATAGGAATTTCTTCCTCATGATTATGCACATGTTGACTACTATTTGCATCATTGTTTGTCATACTTTCTAAAACAAATGATTTATCAATGAAACAAGTGGAGGAAGAATTAATGATATCCAAGTATTATGTTTTAAAGTCAAGGAATTCCTTTTCAATTTTAAACAAGAGTTACAGGACATGTAATGCTCCAAGATCAGTCAAAACAACTAACAAAAACACTCAAAAAGTAAAAAAAAAACAAAAATACACAAATCTGAAAATCTCGTAGAACAAAGCAAAATACAAAAATGAAAATGAAAATGAAGGAATTAGCAAAAAATCAAAAATACAAAAATGAATATAAGATGCTAAAGAAAATTTAGAAACAAAAATCATACAATTCAGATGAGTAGAGAGTGAGCAATGCTCATTCAAAGTTGGTCCACTTTTCTGAATGTGATAGCAAATATCAGTCTAAAGCTAGTGAGTTGTGAGCTGCACAAAAGCTGAATCCTAACTCAAATTCCACTTAAATGTTTACCTGAAATAGATAACATAACAAGGATTGTACTTCAAAAATTTTAGGTCAAAATTCTCTCTCAGTTGCTCCCAAAAATTCGCACAACTCAGTGAACAAATCTAGAATTTCATGACCACTTTTGGAGTACCTTAACAGAACTTTTCAGTCTTTTTACCAAGTTATTGGCAAAATCACAATGATGAGCCAAACATACGAATTAGAGATAACACAGTGATCAATGAAATGAGACAAGAATCAAGCAAATCGGACAATAAAGTGAAAGTTGTGCACACTTAAAGTTGACACAAAATTCTGGATTTTTGAAACAGTTATTCCAGAACCTTGCTGTCTTGCAATAGATATACAGAATAGCTCCTGAGTCCAAAACTTTCCCTCTCAATTGATATCAAAGCTAAGATATGTAGCTTTCTAACAAATCAAGCCCCAAGCATAAAATCCTTTCTAGTTGTTCACAATTTAATTTTAAAGTCAGATCAAATTTTGTGAGATAGCAACAATCTTCAGCTTGATTTTAGCTCTAAAAATTCCAACAAAATCAATGAAAAATAAAAAAAAGAAAATTAAACAATGGTGAATGAAATGAAATTGATTGGCTATGTTGCTTCCTGACAACGATGCCACTTGAAAAGCCTTAAATCATATCAAACTTAAAAAAAAAACTAGAATATAGTTGAGTACACCCTAGGTCATTAAATTTAAAGAGAGCAAACTTAAGCAACCAAAGACAATTCATAAACCATTTTCACAAGTTAAAAACTATATTGGTTTGATAAAAATCAAGAGAAATATTTTTGGTTTTCTAAATTTCAAGTGAAAATGAATGGAAGTAAAATTGACTCAAACAAGCAAATGGGTGAATTGTCCAAGTTTTGAATCCATTCACATTTCCAATTATAAACTCCTTAATTCCATGAGTTTAATCCCTACATGACTCAATTGACAAAATAAAAGCCTAATGACTACTAAGACTAGATAAATGTGGCTTAGACCAAGACACATAATCCTTGAACAATTGCCAAACTTTGATAACACCAATCACATTGAATTTTTGCCTTGCTAAAACCTTGCTCTAACACTTAGAACAATTAAATTTAGACAATCAACTCCTCATTAAGACCTAATGGAAGCTGAATGAATCAAATAAAGCAAGCAAGAAATAAGAAGAATTTGAATTCAGCAAGTAATAACTATTAAAACATAAACTCAAACACTTGAGGTGCACAAATTCAATGAAAAATGTAACCAAAATAATTTGATCCTCAACAAGAAAAATGATGTCAAATTAATTCAGTCAATCTAACCAGAGTCAATGAATTAAGTTCAAAAGCATAACAAGAATTAGAATCAGATTTAAGCTACAACAGAACCGAAACTAAGTGCAAGTGGAATTTCATCATCTTAGAGAATCCTTGAAGATTTAGCTTCTCATTTCACTCTCTATAGCTATTAATTGAAGGAGAGAGTCACAAGTAGCTACCATGGATGAATGTTTCGAAGGAACTTATCTGTGCTAGTGTACGACGACTGAAATAGACGTTGTGAATAGTGGCGTGCGATGGCGGCAGTGTGAACTTTGATGGCCGAACTCGGCTGAGAGGAGATAAGCGTCCTATGCATGCATGAGCGGCAAGCCTTTGACCAAGAGAGATGAAGATAAGATGAGATGAGTGAGCATTCTTGAAGATGAAATGGTGATCGTCTCTCTGACCAAACTCGGACTTCATGAGTGATCAATGTTTGCATGTTCAAGTTTGGTGTTTACATGTGCATCGTCCGAAGTCCAACTCCAGCGTTCACCTCTGTATTTCCTTCCTCCTCTTCATTTTTAATTCTCTGCCCTTCTCCTTTTGAAAAGTCAAAGCTGATTACAAAAAAGAAAAAGAGAAAATCACCAATTTTGGCCCACAAATTTCTTAAAACATAAAACAAACAAAACAAAAATCAATTTAATGCAAATGGACCAACTAAAGTCTTAAAAATAAAAATAAAAATTGCCCAAATAATAAAATATGTTAAGGAATTAAAATTTCAGATTAAAAACGTTTAGTTCCAACAAAAAATGTGCAAAACGACCAAAATGCCCTTAATGCCAACACTCAATGCAAATGAGCCTATGCTCAAATTCAATATTAAAATCATGCATATAAGGGTCTAAATCAATAAAGTAAGGTCACAAATGTAAAAGAAAAGTGTGAAAAATATGTGATTTATTAATATGCATGAAAATATAAAACAAACAAGAATAGTAACTAAAAAATGAAAGAAAGGACAGGAAATAATGAATAATAATATATCATTTATATGTGAACAAACTGAAAAATTAGAATTAAAAATTTTTTATAAAAGAAATGGAACTAATTATGCAAAAAATAAAAAGATAGAAATAAGAGAAGAAAGAGAATTAACAGAACAAGAAGAAATAAATTTTGAAGAAAGTTGTAGAGCTGCAAAAATAATGTTAGAAAATTATAATTATAAACATAAAAAGAGAAATAATAAAAGGGAAACACAAAACAAAATGAATATAAATATGACTAAAACATTAGTGAAGAAGACATAAGCGAATTAAGTCAAATGATTTACAAAAATTGGAAGAATTAATGGAAATTGAAGAAAAAGAAAAACTAGAAGAATTAAAAAGAGAATATGCATACTTAATGAATAATAATTGTGATGAAGCTTTTATAAATATGCAAAATTCACAATTAGTAAGTTATGAACAACCTCAATATGAAATGCCTCAAGATTTTAACCCTCCAAATTTAGATAGCCCAGACTATAACAATAGAAATGTAGAATTTAGTAGAATATCAAAAGATAGACCAGATGAAAAATTGATGGAACCATATGAAAAAGAAGTAGAATATCAAACTAATTTTTCTTA